CAATGTCCGCGCAAAACAAGAGAGGACATGGGCAAGATCAATCAAACAGACAAAGCTCAGCAGATTCCTAGCTTTAGCAAATTACTCCTGCGGCTTTGTTAAAGGTTTGCTAAGATCGCCATCCTGCTACTTTTGTGCCGGCGGAAAGCGAAAGCAATCTTAAAGGCTACCTATCCTGAATTCTACTGCTGGGCGAAAAATCCTGGCGCAGCCAAAGAATTGTATATGTTAGGAATTGGGGAATCGTAGATTATCCCCAAACAGTAGGGCTGAAATCGATGTCTACCCTAACCGTTGGGTAGGAGTAGTGTTGGTGGTAGAGCGTAATTGGTGCAAGTGGTCCAGTGGGAGGTAACAGACTTCAACGAACTGAAAGACATTTGTCTTGGTAATAGTTGGAATAGTAGATGCGGATCATAAAAGTGATTGGAGGCGAAGTCCTACAAGCCGCTGTATACAGTCCGCACACTCAGAACCGCGCCCTTGCCAAGCAGTCATCTGTAATGGGCTAGTAGCTGTCAGTTTTGCAGCGCCTTAGTCAAAAATGAGGAATTATTTAGAAAGTAGTTGTGCCTTCTGTGCTGCTGCTGTCGCTGGTAACACGGAGAACTATGATTGCCTCCACCATCTTAGAAGACGCTTTGCAAGGGACGAATTTCCAAATGTTTTGATGCACTTTGCAAAAGCGTATTCTAGCAGCGGCATTGATTTTGTAGCTTGTTGATATACAAGATAGTAATTCTGCACTGATCTGTGAGAAACTACTGATTGTATCAGTGTCCCACTTATCAAGCACGGTATGTGTTGACGTCTGTGGTGCAAATGACTTCTATAAATGCAGTTTAGAACTTTCTGTCTGTCCAGAGAGGCATTCTTCAAGCTGAGTGGTGTTGTCATGCATCAGATGGTCAATTTGCATTGTCTTAGGGACGGTAGATACAAACAAAATCAGAAATAAATCTTAGTGCGTCTTACATTTACTCAAGTAAAAATGATTCCTGCACACTCAGATACATGCGCTTATTCATGCAAATCTATCTGCAGATATAAAAATATGTTGTTTAACTGTTTTATTCAGTGGGAAGACGGACAGACGAATCAAACCTTCTGACTGAGAAGCTGTCGACAACCAAAACTTGGAGAAATTTTCCTTGGCGAAACCTTCTTAACCTTGCATCTACGCTCTCCCTATTTACTTTAACCAATAAACATGACAACACCAAATCTGCCTGGATGCCTTAAGAGTATGAAGTAGAGGGAAGAAAAGATCAACGAGCCTGGTTATACCCTGGTGGGGGCTCCGGTGGACCCTGACCCTTTCGGAGACAACATGAATTTCGAAGAGTGGCTCAAAGCTGTTTAAGTCAACCTTTATCTCCATCTCACCTCCAAAAATGTACTTATTCTTTTGCGAGCTTTGTGAGCTCCTACTTAAGCGTGGTCGAGGTTGTTATCCTTACTAGACTTGGAGTCGGGATGCTAGCAAGTGGAAGTGGCAGAAGCAAGCGGAGTGAAGACAGCTTTTACACCGTTCACCAGGTTTTATGATTATTAAACGATGCTATCAGAACTCTGTAATGCAACAGCTACCTTCCTACGCCTAATGTGAATAGCATTAGTCGGCATGTGCTCGAAACATACTATGATCTATCTCGATGGCATTTTTCTTGATGGTAGAGATATTTTAGAGCTTAAAGCCAACCTAACACTAGAGCTGGATCCGAAAAAATTATATTTTTTGCAACAATATGTCACACTTGGGATATGCAGTCTAGTCAGATAGGAAGGCAGTCATCAATGTCCGCGCAAAACAAGAGAGGACATGGGCAAGATCAATCAAACAGACAAAGCTCAGCAGATTCCTAGCTTTAGCAAATTACTCCTGCGGCTTTGTTAAAGGTTTGCTAAGATCGCCATCCTGCTACTTTTGTGCCGGCGGAAAGCGAAAGCAATCTTAAAGGCTACCTATCCTGAATTCTACTGCTGGGCGAAAAATCCTGGCGCAGCCAAAGAATTGTATATGTTAGGAATTGGGGAATCGTAGATTATCCCCAAACAGTAGGGCTGAAATCGATGTCTACCCTAACCGTTGGGTAGGAGTAGTGTTGGTGGTAGAGCGTAATTGGTGCAAGTGGTCCAGTGGGAGGTAACAGACTTCAACGAACTGAAAGACATTTGTCTTGGTAATAGTTGGAATAGTAGATGCGGATCATAAAAGTGATTGGAGGCGAAGTCAGGGTAGGCGATTTTAATCAGTAGTGGTGGAGGAAGTTCCAGAGGGCGAAGCGGATTTCCAAGTTTGAGCCAGATGGGGTCGCCTCAACATCAGTGCTAGTGGTGATGGAGGTGGCGGTAATCAAGA